CCATAATGTTTTAACAGGGACATGTACCCAGATTGGATTTTTCTCTTGGTAAGGGTGACATTTACCTTATTCTGGAAGACTGGTAACATGAAGCCTTTTGTTTTAAGTCTCACAAAGCATTTAATTAGTGCTTCACAGCATGTGAAATGTTCTGTAAAAACGAAAGTTAAAGTGAGAAGCCGTGAGCAGGCTGATTCTTCATCAGCTCTCATGTTGACACTCAGAAAGATTTTACTTCAGAGCCAGGTTTGCTTTCCATACGTTAGTTCCTGGTGTTTAAACTCAAACTGTCATAATGTTCAAAAAGTTCATTTATGCATATAGCAGACGGGATTTCTAAAACAGATTTATCCGGCCCTGGCCAGTTTGGCTCAGCATGTCTTAGGTTCGATTGTTGGTCAAGGGCACATACCTCGGTTGCAGGTTCAATCCCTGGCCCTGGTCGGGGTTGTGGGGGAGAGATGAATGTGTCTCTCTCACCTGGATGTTTCTCTCTCTCTCTCTGTCTCCTTCCCTCCCTCCCACTCTATCTAAAAATTAATAGAAAAATATCCTTGGGTGAGGATGAAAACAAACAAACAAAAAACAAAAAAAAAAAACTGATGTTATTTGTATGGCCCAGAAATAGTATTTTGTACAGCAGCCCCGTGTTCATACCAGATGTCTGTGTCACTCACCTCACAGCATCATTATTCCTTTGTTCCTGCATCATTTTCACCCCTCAATTCTCCTTTCTCCAACTCCATCAAATCTTTATTTCTCTGCTCTTAATTACAACCACAAACGGAGCCAGAGCGTGGCTGCATCAAGGAGCGGTGAGTGGAGCATCAGTGTGGGTACGTTACGTGTGGTCATTCACGGGACCACAGAAACAGCGATGGTGGAGAAGGAGGACGAGCAGACAGCAGTGGGTGGGGACAGCCTTCATCCGAACTGTGGCTTGACCACACCTTTACTCTTAATTGTCCACATAGAAGAGAAGAAAAACAATGTTTTTCGTCTTTTAATCTTCCACTGACCTTCTTGTCTTTATGTGAAGCTGTGGAAGAACTTAGTTACTTAGATTATTGCAGCAGAGATGACATTCAACAAGTTTCCAATTCCACACCTAAGGATGTGCACCGTTGTAGACAGAGGTATACCTGCCATGCATTACAAGGCTAGTCTTTTAAAAATTCCTCCCAGTATGTGTATATGTGGTTTTTTCTCTCTCTCTCTCTCTTTTAAATCATGCTAATTTTTTAGGGATCCTTTTCAAAATTGTACTACTACAGCATTAACTTTTTATGTACTGTAGCACCTTTATATTTCACTTTAGATTCATCAAAAGAATGATAATTAGCCCGGCCGGTGTGGCTCAGTGGTTGAGCCTTGACCCATGAACCAAGAGGTCGCCAGATCGATTCCCGGTCAGGGCACCTGCCCAGGTTGTGGGCCCGATCCCCAGTGGGGGGCATGCAGGAGGCTGCCAATCAATACTTCTGTCTCTCTCCTCTTCTCCCTTCCTCTCTATCTAAAAAAAAAAAAAAAAAAATCAATAAAAATATATATTAAAAAAAGAATGATAATTAACCTCCCCTTTTACCAGTATTTATAATTTGAGCAAATAGGCTGGCACTGCAGAACCTAAAATAAACTATTATGAAAAATCAAATGTTTAGCACAGCAACAGTTCTTTTTTTTTAAAAAAAAAAAATTTCTTTATTGATTTTAGAGAGAAAGGAAGGGAAAGGGAGAGATAGAAACATCAATGAGAGAACATCAACTGGCGGCCTCCTGCATGCCCCCCACTGGCCCACACCTGGGCATGTGCCCTGACCGGGAATCGAACTTGCAACTCTTTGGTTCGTGGTCCAATGCTCTAACCGCTGAGCAAAACTGGCCAGGGCATTCTGTATTAAATACTCACTCAACCCATATGATGTATTATTAACTCCTTATGATAACCTAAGCAGCAATCTAGAAAAATATTACATATCCTTCCACGTATCCCAGCAGAAATACAGCAGCAAAATGAGGCCGATGAACCACCACTAAGAACTATTTCTTAACCCAAGTCTCCCAAACACAAGCTTTTTACCACGAGGTCATAAGTAATAAGGAAAAGAAATACTGGCAAAAAGCAGTGTCTATTTTGCACCTGTCTGAAGCCAAGACAGATATATCTGGGAGCTACTTCAGTTTCTTACTCATTTTCAGTCCACTCGTAGCAGAACATAAAACACTGGCACCGCTGAACCCACAAATTCATGGACTAGAAGGGGGACAACAGCCTTGGGGAAGGGAAGCTTCAGTGACGCCATCACATAACGGGGAGCTGGGCACACAAAGAACAGGGCACAGGAAAACACACCTTGGAAGCCCAGGGGTAAGAAATGCTGAGGATGGGGACTGCAATGAGGCGAACCAAGTGTTCTCAAGATGAAAACTGTTGCCTCTTGAAAATACACCCTCACCCCCTTTAAAAAGAATTTAAATGACTGCTCTTAAGGAAAATATTCCCTCCGAGGAATGTCACAGTTTGGAGTGAAGTCACTACACAAGACAGAATAAAACCATGATGTTGCTGAAGCAGCTATTTTCTTTGGGTAGATTAAACTTAAAATATTCACTTGATGCAGACTTCCTGTTACGATTACTTTACCCGCCTCGAGTTTTATAATCACTCACATTGAAAGCCTCAATTGCATCAGAACTGGCAACATTCGTTTTAGTGCAAAATAAAGGCATCCAATGAAGGTGGGCGCTCATGTGGGGGACATAATTAATTAAAGGCCGGAAACGGGTGTTAACGGTGTAAGACCTTTGAGGAGTCAAGTCATATATTTGAAGATATTTCAGTGTTACAACCATTCATCTATAAGATGATTGTTTTGGTGTAGTGTAAGTAGTATCTCAGAACTTCTGCACTTAGATCTTGAAGAATATTAGAAGTATGATATTGTGATAAGAACACAACCACCCAATTATGTTCTTATTATTGGTCATTGGGAGAACACCCCAAATAATCAAGCAGTCTAAGGCATGTATAGGGCCATATAGAAATTTTCACCAGTTTGAGGTACCCCAATCTAATAAACACGATAATAAAACAGGTGTCTGAAATGGGGGCAAGGTGAAAAAGTAAAAATAAATTGTATACTTTTATCAAGTATTTGAGAACATATTTTTAAAAAATGAGATACAAAAGGAATTTCTGCTCTGGCTGGTTTGGCTCAACGGTTGGAGCGTCGGCCTGTGGACCAGAGAATCCTGGGTTCGGTTCCTGCTAGGGACACATACCAAAAAAAGAAAAAAAAAGAAAAATTCCCTTATTTTAAAAAAGTTATCATATTAAGTTGCTTTAAAATAACTTACCTTATATTTACAATATAGCCATTTACATAGTTCTTTTTTTATCCTCACCTGAGGACATTTTTTCCATCCTTTGTTCAGATAGAGTGGGGGGGGGGGGGGAGAGAGAGAGAGAGAGAGAAACATCGACGTGAAAGGGACACACTGAGTGGCTGCTACCCGCATAACCCAACCAGGGCCGGGGACAAACTGCAACCGAGGTACGCGCCCTGAGTGGGAACTGAACCCAGGTTTCTCCAGACCGCAGGCCGACGCTCTAACCACTGAGCCAAACTGGCCAGGGCCGTTTACATAGTTCTTGAAGAAAGCAACAGTAATATATAAAAAAATTAAAGGCAGCTTTTCAAGGGGTAAATAAATCTGCAGCTCCAAGACAAACAACCATGTTGAAATTAACTCAGAAACCTCGATTTCCTGTTCCAGTGGGTCAGTGGTTTGTTATTTTACAGAGGTTTGGAAGAATTAATGAATTTCAAAAGAGCTAATTTAATTCACTCAGCCCTAGGATCTGGCGCAGTAATAAGAAACTGGTCTCTCAACATTCCGTCCCTCTATTACCTTCCTTTTCTTAATCTTGCTTCTCAATTAGCCATACATGGCTAAGGAAAATATGAAATGAGCCAGGATTTGTGACGGCATGAAGACTACGCACGATAAAATCAATAAGGAAAGGGGTGATCTGGTTCTATCTTCAAACTATTTATAAAGAGAATTTAATGTCTGTATTTGTTTTTCTTAGATCTACTTCTATTTTACTCCTACCACCAAGCGTCCTTCCATTTAACATGTTCACATGAAGTACTTTTTAATTTATTTCTGACATGACTGAGAATTTTGTGAATTTTAAAGTGCATTTCACTGCACACCAAGCGCCTGCACCCACTGAACGGCTGCAAACCTGGCGCAGACGCAGTCTTTCTGGTGTTCAAGGCACGGTGAGGATGAAGACCCTTGGCAAGAGGGCTCCACTCTTGAGTGTTTTCTAAGCTCTTCCAAAAGCCCATTCTAGATTATTCGGGGAGGCTCACCAGGCGATGAATTACCCTTCCCTTTCCTTCCTCATCTTACTCTGCCTGACATTTTACACATTTTATTTTCTGACAAGTACTCCAGAAGAGATGGCAAGGAAAATAAATAAAAACAAAACCCATTCATTTTCAACGTTCACAAGGAGTCAATTATATCATCAATCATAATGGTATACTGACCATTTCTCTGGATCATTTTCCATTAGCAATGACATCCTTTTAGTTTATACTTTACAACTATCTTCTACTAGAATGCAGTTTTTAAAAAAATGACTTGAAGAGATTACTTACACATTTCCAGAAATGTTCAACATAACTGTAGATATAAATGGATGTTTTCTTAATTATTGTAAATCTATGCCCGATGAAATCACCATGTTCGAATGAGCTACATTTGGCATAATTCATGTACGATCTCCCGTCATTACTAGGAATGACCAGAAGCTAGGAGTATAATCGACTCACTGAGAATTATGCAGACATTTGGGCAACTGAAAAGTATAAAGTTATTTCCAATAAACATTATGGACAAAAATATGAACAAGATAATACAATATTTTGAAAATATTTTAATATTTGCCATTTTTGTTGCCTGTGCTATTAATATATACATTGATTTAGCAATAAATATACTACTATTACATAGAGTGCAATATTTTTAGTATTCCTAACTGGTTGAAATTAATGCTGCATTATCTCAAGAAATGAATAAATAAATATCACACCCGAATTCCAAACTAATGCTCCAGAGTTACCATTAACAAAAACAAAATACACACGTCGGGCATTTTCTTTTTAAACATGATTCCTGTAAACATAGGAAAGATCCCCTTTCTCAGTTCTAACATTTCGTGTGATGGCTTGAAAGGAAAATATCGCATACAGACTCTCCCACTTCTTTTTTGCATAGGAAATGAATTCATCATGTGTGTAAATGCAGCATCTCTCGGTGAAATGTCTTCATCACGTAGCACTTGTTTTCTGTATGAATTCAGAACTTCTGAGCAGTAAAAGTGCTCTGCATAAGTTTATAAAATAGGCCTTCTGGATTTAAAATTTAACAGGAAAATTTCCAAATAGGTCATAGTTACGATTCTAAAATATTATGTACATGATATCCGGCTGCAGGAGGCGATGTCTCTCTGCAGCACAACACAGTGTACAAATGTGAAGCACAGTGTTGAGTAGGTTTCCCTTCGGTTTCCTCACATGGGGCCGCAGCGGCTCATGGCGACGTGGGGCCACGCGGCCCGTTCTACTTGTCGCAAACAAAGTAGAAGGGGCTGCGAGGGCAGATTTAAAGTAGATAATGGAAAAAATGGCAAAAATACAGTACATATGCTTTAACCAGTGCACTTTATAAAACAAGCTGCTTTATTCATATTCTTTTATAAAGTGCAATTTTACTTAAAACAGAGACATGTACCTTAATGTTTGCAACACGGTTGAAACAAACCGCCAGGAAAGAGCAGTGCAACATGAAAATCGTATGTAGCTTAGCATGCAGCTCAGCTGGGTCCCAGATACAGAGCCCGGGACCCGACGTCCTTATAGCTTTTCTTTTACTTTTTTGAAAAAGACGAATAATAGCAGGTTATCATCATATGTAACCATAAAATAAAAACAATAAGTTAAAATCCTCTCTCAAGAAGTAAGTCTATGCCACACATAAAATTCATTACAGAATCTTTTTGAAAACAGACATTTTTCTCTGATAATTCACTGTTCAGAGGGTGCAAATCTCTTAAAAACCCACATTATCTGCAAGGGGAAGCGAAAGGTGTCATCCTCACAGCAGGGGTAGCTCTTGCAGGCAGACATCTGAAAAGCCTGCGACTTACTTTGTAAGCAGTTCATATCCACCCAGTCCCTCATTAACTCTGCAGGAGCCGTTCTCTCCAGAATCGTCCTGCTGGCATCCGCTGGTCGCTACACTGTGTAACAAGTGCTTCCTTCACAGTAACATTCTCCGGCCAGTGCTCTCGGACAAGGATAACCAATGGGTTTTCCGGAAAAATTCCCTAAGTGGCAGAATTCAACGAGACCAGTGGGACTTGTTTTTTCATTTGTGGGTTTTGTTTTTGGCTCATTCAGGATATTTTGTTTTCTTAAAGTAGACAGTCTGACTCCCCACACCTCACCTCAGGCATCTGCTGAGGGGCCGAGGGGCCAGGCTCACGGGCCACGTCCTGCCACGCCGGTGGCTCAGTCGGAGAACTGGAAGAGGGTCTCGGGGTTACTGCCATCGGCGGGGTTGCTGGGCTGCAGCGTCTTGGTGGGTGTGGTTTTCCCGTGGGAGTGGGAGGACGAGGAGTGGGAGCTCTCGCTGGAGCTGCTGCGCGTCTCGGTGCTGGTGCTGGTCTTCTTCATCTTCCTCCTCTTGGCCAGAGGGGCCTTGTCGACATTCTGAAGGCAAAACCCCTCTCTCTTGTATTTGTTAAAGGCCTGGGGAGGAAAACAAAGGAACCCCCATGAAGGTAAAAGGACTGAAGGTTCCTGGGCAGATAAAACTACAGCAGAAGGTGCCCTTGGGACCAGAGCTCCAAGATGCTTGGGGAACAAAGTCCTAAAACCCATGCTACCCAAACTCCTGAGGGGCACAGAGGCTCACGGGGAGATTTCTGAGCATGCTGTTTAATGTCACCAGTTAGGCTGCTCAGGAGCCATGACTCTAATACAGCATGTGAAGAAGTCGGCACTGCCTCTCGGTGAAAACACTGCCTGGGAATTCCTACCGACTACCAGCAGTCTAACACACCCCTCCCTCGCCCCACTCCTGGTCCCCGTTCCTCTTGCCAGTTCTGTGTCTGAGATTTAAAACTCTGACCACACAGTTCCAACACAGAGCAGACTTGATCGATCGTGGGCCCCCGCTCTCCACTTCCGAGTCAATGCAGCTGGGTGCACACTGGTCACTTAATACACGCAGAGATTAGGCCCCCAAGCCTCAGGCTGCCTTAACCTCCCAGCAGCTGCCTTCACTCTTCTCGGCCTCAAGCTCTGGCACGGCTGCAGTTGCCCCGACAACCTTGTGTCACGTACCACTGAGATGTGGATCATCTGCCGCAGTTAATCTCCTTACACCTCGCCATATCCTCCTTCGTTAATTTTGTAATCAATTTCTGCAGCTGAAGAGGAAAGGCTGTCCCTTCTTTCTCAAGATAATCCCTTCCAGAGGTCGTTTTATTTCTCCTTAACTCATTTACTCCTCGGACAACTATCTTAATGTGTCTGCATCTGCTTGGCACCAGCGGGCAGTTACTGCAACGTAGTCCCAGCCTTTCAAATGCAGTCACTACCCAGCGCGAGCCCGTCACTGCTCGCCCTCACGGTCTCTGGAATATCCGAGGCACAAAGTGGCTGCCGAACGAACGAGCTTTGACGGGTGCCGTATCCTAACACTCATTTGTAGTTTCCACAGAACACGATTTAGCTTTTTGAGAGAAAAGAGTTCTAGTATTATGCCCGTGGTTACCTAGAGAAAATCTCCAGCCACTCAAACATCAGACTCCTGCCTCTTCTCTCACATTCTGAATGTCGAGGAAGGGGCTTGTGGTCAGCAGGGACTCTGGGCCCCGTGCGCTTTCTGTTCATGAATATGTTTCTATCATCAAGGGATTCATGAAAACACACATAAAACGACAAGAACACGTCTTTTACATGGATTCCTAAGAGCGTGTCTCGGAGGTATGGGGTGTCTGATTGCTGTTCAGATCCACGCGTGCAGAGCGCGGGCACTTACGTGGAAGGTGGCTTTCACGCAGGTGTGCACAGCGGCTCCCGAAGAGCCCAGCACGTCGGGCGTCATCAGAGGGTTGGAGGACAGCTGGCTGCCATCCTGAAGCCATTCATTGTATCTCAAGCCAGACATTTTAAGCCTTTTATTTGGATCTACTGTGAGAAGGCCTGTGGGAATAAACAAGATGTTTTTATTTTATGATATGCCATTTCAAACACAGTTTAAAATCAACCTCAGACGTAAACCTCAATTATGTTCACATGACACAATGGTTTCTACAAGGCGTCAACCTCCTCCAAAAATAATTACCTTTTCCTATGCATTGGATGCCCTAGTGAATGCAGGATGCTAATGAGAAAGCCCACAAGAGCCGACTTCTAGGAGGCTGACGGCTAACTGACTTTTCGATCCGGAGAAAATAACCGCCCAAGCAGACTCAGAGGTGCCTGGGGAAACCCCGAATGAAGACAGAGCACCCAGACCCCTTCATCCGCATGCAAACCCTCCTGTGAGTCGGCAGTGCAGCCGGGCCGAGGGAGATGGAGACGGGGCACGTGGACAAAGCCGGCTAGGACACCGCCAGGGCACAGGCAATGGCAAATCCCTGCATCTGTGCTGAGGCTCAGGGAAGGCTCGGCCTGGGAGCGGGGCTCCTGGCACGCTTCCAGCAGGTGAGCCCTGGGGGACGAGCAGAGCGGGCTCGGTGAGGGGGTGCCGGGGATGAGAAAAGCGGGAGCAGAGGCGTGCAGGAGCCCGAAGGCCGGCACAAGTGCCCTGCTGGGGCAGAGGCAGGCAGGGCCAGGCCACCAAGGGCCTTGAATTCTCGATGCGCCACGATGGAGTCGGCCCTAAGCTAATGGATTCTCCGAAGGACCTTAAACAGGAGAGAGGCGTGAGCGCCTGTGGATGTTAAGAAGGTCACTCTGCCCATCGATGGCGGACAGGTAGAGCCAGAGGAAGAGAGACGAGGTGAAAGACTTGCAGGATCTCGGGAGAGAGGTGGTGACAAGAACCAAGGTGGCGCCGTGTGAATGGGGAGGGGTGGCAAGGAGGGCATGAACCCGCAGACGAGGGACTGGCTGTGGAAGGTGCGGAAGGCAGGGCTCGTGGGTGCCAGGCTTCTTGGCAGCCCAGCGAGGGAGACGGGAGCGGGCACGTGTCCGGGGGAAAGGAGAGTGAGCAGCACAGGTTCGATTCGGGATGCGGGAGGATCCGAGCGCTGTTCCCGTGGGGCTGTGGACAGATCCTGAGGGAAGATGTTCCGATAAGAAAAGGCTCCGTAGAGCAGCCTGGTCCTTACAGAGCACATGGGTGGATCCCGCGAGTAGGTAACAACCGTGTGTAGATCCCGCTCCCATCTCTGCACAGCACACCACATAAAATGACCCTGATTCCCACCTTGGATCAAATCTTTAGCCTCCTGGGATACATTCTTCCAGGCTTCTCCTTCAAAGGAGAAATCTCCCTTTTTAATTTTCTTCATGATTTCCACTGCACTGGTACACGTCAAACTTTTGTCTTGAGATTGGAATGGAACTTGCCCGGACAACATTGTATACTATCGAGGGAAAAAAAGGAGCAAAGAATGTTTCATTCAACAGTTCATTACGATTGGCATTACTGGGTTTGCAAGGTTATGTGACTTCTATTACTGAAACAACCAACACATTTCAAAGAGCTGTAAATACAGAGGAATGGCTCATTATGACATCAAGGTTTAAAACCATTTTTATAACTATATTCAGAACAAGAAAAATAAATGAGGGATAATCCAACTGACTCAAAAAGATGATATAAGGTTAACAAAAAATCTAAAGACAGCAGGACCCCTGAATAACTGTTCTTTTTCTATCCAATTCCACATCCTTTCCTTTGCATGTTAACTATGATAAGAACTTACAAATATTTTTTATTTAGGCCTTCTTTATTTTGTTTGTAATTACCCCGATTATAATTTCATTTTTCTTACCGCTGTGTTAAATGCAATAAACTCTCTACAGTCACCTTATTTTATTTTAGCCATGTGTGTGAAAATTTACATGAGAGATTTTGTTCTTTAAAAAGTCAACAGAGCCCGGGTCGGGTAGCTCAACCGGTTAGAGCATCATCCCGACACTCCAAGGTTTCGGGTTTGATACCCGGTCAGGGCACATACAGGAATCAACCAATGAATGCATAAATAAGTGGAATAAATTGATCTCTCCCTCTCCCTCTAAGATAAACAAACAAACAAACAAAATAAAAAGTCAACAGAAAAACCATAAAGCTAAGTAAGACTGGTCTTTGCAGCGGAGATGGGCTTTCTGACAGGTGAGCCTTTACACTTCCTGGGGGTCCTCTCCGCTCGCTGAGACCTCCAGGCTTGCAGCGGTGGAAGGGAGCTGGGAAGGCAGTGGGCTGGCCGGGGGTTCGGACAGAACCGTGTCTGTGCGCAGACCGGAGGGAGAGCCGTGTGCTGAGAAGGGGGTGGTGGTGCCGGTCACTTAGGAAGGGACTCAGCGGGCAGAGCTCCAAGTAGGAGGTGTGGAGCCGAGGAGGCATCCCGGTGGCCCAGGAGGACCCTGCCTTCTTCTCCGGTCACTGTGTGACCAGCGGGCATACCCGCACGCTGGCCAAGAGGGCGAGGCAGCTCTTACCCGCCGGCTCTCGGAAAAGATGGAGATTCGCAGGCAGAATGATACACATAACGTGAAAAGAAAACCCGAGAGACACAATCAGGTAGGCAGTCAACACAACCCACGTAAGGAGGATGGAAGGTGTGTGACTGAGACCCGACAGAGAGAAGGGACTCGACCCTCCGAGGTTGCCTGAGACGAGGAGGCTTTGGGCAAATTTGCACTTTCTCAAAAGGAAAACTGCCTGCGAAGAAGAAAAACCACACTGGGAGAACGGAGGGTTTGAAAATAGAAGCAAGAAGAAACCTGTTTCTGATTTTGAGCAATAAACCAAGAACAATATTTGTTCTAAGGAGGGAAATGCTAGGACATCTGTAGAACAAAGACAAACAACTTAAAAAAAACACAAAACCCAAACCTCCTAAATCCTCGGTATGGAAGGAAGGCTGCAACTGGATCAGACTGAACCGAGTCCGCAGGTCAGGAGAAACTCCGCTACAGGTCTCCCCAGTCTCCCGACGGACCCCAGGGCCTCCACGGGCCCCTCTAAACTCCTGCCCGTGACCCTTCATGCACACACCGCACCATGTGTACAACCGGAAGCGCAGCCCACACCCCCCTGAGCAAACGCCTTCCCGGGCTTCCCCACACCTTCCCCTTGGGCCTCGGTCTCCGCAGTTCCCAGGCTCCAACCCCACTTTCCCTACCGACAGTCCCGCCTCCCTGACTTTGCACAAGGTACTAAGAGTCCTTAGAAAGCCACTTGCTTTCTTCAGCTGGCAAAGTCCTAGGCATCAAACTAGGGTCTTTGTCCCCTGCCATCATTACTACAGAGAAGACAGTACAGAGGGGAGAAATGAGCATCAGCGTCACAGACCTGGCTTCAAACACGTGCTTTTATTTCCTACCTTGAGAAAATTAGTCAACCTCTTAGACCAGTTCTTCATCTATAAAGTAAAGTACCAAGATCAAGCAATCCACTGCGCTTGGTAACAAGCAGCAGCCAGTTCAGTTACACACCTACTCTCCACCCCAGCCTCGCTGTTTATCCCTTCCTCCTCCTCTGGCTGGATGGCAGTAGGAACCCCACTCCCTGTGGAAACTGGAGGGGGGGAGACATGCAACTTCAAAGGCCCTCCTAAGGTCTGCTTTCTAGGTCACTGCTGGCACCAACTATCTTAGCCTGGGTTCCCCAGAAAGCAGAGTCCGGAGCAAACGCTTATGCACAGTGATGTTACTAAGGAGCACAGGCTGTGAGGAGGGACGGAGGGCGGGAGGGCAGGAAGCGGGAGGGACAGAGGGCGGGAGGGACGGAGGGCGGGAGGGACGGAGGGCGGGAGGGACGGAGGGCGGGAGGGACGGAGGGCGGGAGGGACGGAGGGCGAGGGACGGAGGGCGGGAGGGACGGAGGGCGGGAGGGACGGAGGGCGGGAGGGACGGAGGGCGAGGGACGGAGGGCGGGAGGGACGGAGGGCGAGGGACGGAGGGCGGGAGGGACGGAGGGCGAGGGACAGAGGGCGGGAGGGACGGAGGGCGGGAGGGCTGGAGGGCGGGGAGCAGCACACACCGAATGCAGCCCCTGGCCGAGCTGGGCCAGCAGGGCCTAGCTGCTGTGCTGAGCGCCGCACAGGTCCACAGGGCTCTGGCATGAAGCACCAGCTACTCTGGTCAAATTCTTGTGGATTCCCTTCAGTGGGAAAGATCCAAGCAGCCGTTACGTGGCAAGGCCAGCATTCACCGTCTTAGCCAGGAGCTGTGCTGACTTTCCTGTGGGGACCTCGGTCCTCTTGACATTCTACCGAAGCCCGTGCTGGTTCTCTACACCCATGTTTTCGTGGAAGGAGCCGGGAGCAGACAGTAGCCGGGATCCTAAGTGCCCTACAAGCCGGGTGCATGCCAGAGGGTAGGGATCCAGTACAAACACTCGGGGACTGTCACACTGGCCCGAGTTTACAGTACCAATGCCCGCGGCACAGAGTCCCCTCTGAAAGGCACACTGCTGTCCCCTCAGGAGAGAAACACAGGGCTCAGTGGGCTCCCATGGACTGGGCGGAGAAGTCGGCTCCAATCCTTTTGTCGGGCGACTTGGAGGGCTCCCAGTTTCCAGTGAGGCCCAGAGGAAAGAGGGCTCTGATGTAAGTTCAAGCTGTAGTACAAGCTGTCCTGCCACTTAGGCCGAGGGTCTGGTAGACCCACCGTGCTAGAAGAAGCTGTGCAAACGAGGATGCTGTGTGGAGGCCCAGCTCCTCCAGCGGGAGGCGCCGAGCAGGCTGAAGGGTTCTGGGGCCAGGCCACGCCTTCTGTGACTGCTCTTGGAAAAACAGCTCCTGGCGAGGCAGGATGGTAGGGAGCTAGGAAAATGCCTTGGCAGGTGGGATTAGGGAACCTGAGACAAAATAGTTAAATAAGGCTGAGCAATTAACAGCCTGATAATAAATCGCAAGGTCTTATCTTCCCTTACCAAGGATGCTTAGGAGCAAATAGTTTATACCTCCCCTCCCCAACCAGAGAGTGAGTACTTAAATCACCCTGGTCAGGGAGACAGACAACAGAGACCCAGCTGGTGCCATTAATGCCAGCCAAATCAGAACGGAGGAAGCAGGGGAATAAATAACAAAAAAGCCCAACTGGGGCCAGACAAATCCAAGGTAAAAGCAAAGCAGTGAAGCTGACCAGAGAATGATCCCAAACTCCCCTATCTTGACGCATCAGCACATTAAAGAGCACACCTGAAGAGCTGAACATTCTGCTGAGACCCTCCCTGAGACATCTCCAAACACTCCAGCCTTTGGAAAACAGGTAAGACAGAGGACCCAGCGGGCGCTCTCTCTCCCCCGCCCTCTCTCAGCCAGGGGAGCAGCAGGCAGCGGCGCCTCGTCCTGCCCTACGTTTTCTAAATCCTGTCATAACTCGAATGTGTGTGTGCCTCCCAAGTTCATGTTGAAGACCCAACCCTCAGTGTGGCCGTATTTGGAGAAAGGGCCTATATGGAGGTAGCCTAAGTTACATGACGTCACAGGGTGGCATTCTGAGTGAACAGGATTAGCATCCTTACCAAAAGACACACCCAGAGCTTGCTTGCTCTCCCCCCGAGTACGAGAGGAAAGGTACGTAAGGGCAGCACCGTGCTGGCCCCTTGACAGTGGACTCCCAAGCTCCGAACTGAAAAAGGCTGTGCCTGTTGTTCAAGCTGCCCAGTCTGCGGGGCTTGGCGGCGGCAGCCCCAGGCCGACTGAGGCAGCCTGTCAGTTCATTCAAGTCCTGTGTGTTCCAGATGGGGCTGCACATCCAGGAGGTTGTAATCAAAGCCACATGAAGCTCCATGATGCAGCTTCCTAAAGTATTTGTTTCATTCAGAGGGGAGTAACATAAATTATTTTCATTTACATTTTCATGTTTATTAGATGCAACATGCAAAAGGACCACAGATTTCTAAGGAAAATCGGGAGACTCCAAATCAATGTTATGCTTGCTATAGGATAATTCAGGTTTTGAATCTAGATTCATGGGAGCTATGCATTTATTTATATGGAAATGTTTACAAAGTACTCTCTTGTTTCTTGACAGCTTAATGCAAGTGTTCACTTTAATTTTCATCTGTATTTCATTATGCATCTCTGAAAGGCCAGGACTTTTAAAAACCACAACCACAATATCATTATCCACCTAGAAAACTTAGCAGTCATTTCTTTGTATAATTGAATATTCGATCAATATTCAAATTTCCCCCACTGTGTTATATGCCCTGTGTATTATAATTACATCGGTATGAGTTAGATTTAGTTTGAATTTAATAAATAGAATTGAAATTAGAATGTGCTTTTCGTAAGTGTCTTTTAGTCTATCGGTCCCCACACTGTTTTTTCATATAATCTGGGTTGTCGGTCCTGTGGAACTTCACAGTCTGGATATTGTGATTGCACTCCTGTGGATGTTCTCTGTCCCCTTTCTCTTACACTTGGCCATCAGATAGAGAGCGAAGCGTGGCTTCCGTCCCCTACCCTCACACGAAGCTGTTTCCATGGAGATGCCCTGGTAAGCTCTGATACACCTGCCTGTGTGTCTAAGGCTGGCTCTTAGAACCTTAGAAAGGATGAGGGTTATAACTGGCTTATATTTAAACTAAGGGTTCTTTTACAAGGGGTAATTTTATATTATTACAAACAACAAAAGGCTCTTTTTTATTTAGACATTTTTTTTGGAGAGTGTTACTAATGTTTAAGTCCTTAAATAAAACTCTCAAATCTATAGAAGTTGGCTGTTTATTTTAATTTTAAAAATCTGATTAATAAATATGTAATTTTAGTTTGAAAATGATAAAGAATGACTTAAAATTATTAAAATAAAAGCCATGTAGGACTTAAAATGAGAGGGGAGCACCCTGCAGGGACCCCTGGCTGCAGCGGAACACAAGCTGGCACCCGAGGGACCCCAGAGGCAGAGCTGGTCGCGGTGCCAAGTGAGCACAATTCTGCAGGAAAGTGCAGGAGACTGTTTTTATAACCTTGGGGCCGGGTGGGGAGGGACCATCTGAATCAATGCCGGATTCCATAAAGGAAAAGACTGACATATCTCACTACATAGAAATAAAAAACCTTTTCTATTTAAATCCCTCTAAAAGCAAAGTTAAAATCCCATATTAGTATAAACAAAGTTGTGAGACAAATGACAAACCAGAAAAACATTTCCAATATTAATAAAAGACAAAGGTTTAAAATCCTCAATAAAGCTTCAAAATTCAATAAGAAAAAAATTCACATAGGAAAATGGGCAGAGCTCATAAACAGCAGTTCATAAAAGAAAAATACAAATGTCCAGACACATGACAAGATGCTCAGACATATTCATCAAAAAAACACATGCAGCCCTGGCCAGTTTGGCTCAGCGGTTAGAGCATCGGCCTGCGGTCCGGAGAGACCCGGGTTCGGTTCCCGCTAATGGCACGTACCTCGGTTGCAGTTTGTCCCCGGCCCTGGTTGGTTGTGCGGGTGGCAGCCACTCGATGTGTCCCTTTCATGTCGATGTTTCTCTCTCTCCCTTCCTCTCTCCCTCCCACTCTATCTGTACAAAAAATGGAAAAATATCCTCGGGTGAGGATAAAAAAAAAAAAACGCATGCAGATGACGACAGCAGGAAATAATTTAAGACTAAAATTGATAGTCTTCCACGTATTTGCATACAGTTTATGTTATGAGAACATACTGTGAAAAACCTTCTGGAAGGAAATCCAGGCAAAGATTTCTAAATCAAGATGTGTATGCCCTTCTCCTAGACATCTATGCTAAACAAATAATGAGACAAATGTGAGCACACATATAAAAAGCATTCATTTGTATAGTTTAAGATTAGTGAAGAACTGGAAAATGCTAACTTCTCATTAGTAAATGGTTAAATAAACTTCTGAGACTCAAACTACATGTGTACTATAATCTCATTAAAAACAAATTTATATACGTAAGTCTATAGAGAAACTTACAGAAGGACACAAAGAATACACAATATGGTAGGGGCAGGAGAATTTTCTATTGAGTCACTTTGCTATTTTCACATTATGTCTAATATGCATATCTTTTGAAAACATACTATTCCTTTTTTTTTTTATCCTCACCCGAGGACATTTTTCCATTTTTGTTCAGATAGAGTGGGAGAGAGGCAGAGAGAGAGACGGAGAGAGAGAGACACATTGACATGAAAAGGACACATCGAGTGGCTGCCTCCAGCACGACCCCAACCAGAGCCTGGGACAAATTGCAACCGAGGTACGTGCCCTTGACCGGAATCGAACCCGAGACTCATTGGTCTGTGGGCTGATGCTCTAATCCCTGAGCCAAACGAGCCAGGGCGAAAACACACTATTCTTTAAACAACAACAACAACAACAACAAAAAATGTATAACTCTTATTCACATAAAACACAGCTGCTTTAAATATTTTTAAAAATAAACCCAAATCAAAATTCCTACATCCTTCTTTAATGCACATTTTAAGAAAAGGAAATAGTCTTCTGTCAGGCCTCTAACCGAAAAGAAAACAACTTGCCAACTTTTTTCGTGAATTTAGGAAAACCAGAGAGGGAGACAGGCACAGAGGGCATCTAAGGTTTAAAAGCTCTACTGAAACGAACGCACCAGAATGACGCCCAAGCTCCAGAGGTCGCAGGACTCGTCGTAGCCGTTGTGGTTCAGCAGCTCCGGGGCCGCGTAATGGAGAGTGAAGCACGGAGTCTTGAGAGGCTGGTTATCAGGCGGCTTTAAGCGTGCAAACCCGAAATCAATTACTTTAATTTCCAAGTTGTCATTTTCATCAGTGAATAATAAATTCTGCAAAATACAAACACAGCCGTCGTTCATTAAAATGTCATGGGACTTGGTGATGCCATTTATGTCAAGTACATATTGACTCCGGATTCGTTCACAGAGCGGGTCTGATGGGAAGGGTCTGGGAGCTGGACATCAGGGTACTCTTGTTCTCTGCTTTGCCATTTTTTGTATTATTTCAATTTTACAATGCCACGTGAATCATTTTTCGACTGCTTCATGTCTTGTCTGAGGCCAGAGCCTCTGTCTCTGCTTTTCTGTAACTCTGTGTTTCTGTTCTTTCTCCACCAACTTCCCTTCCAAATGGTTCATGGGACCTGCTCTCCATTCAGAGACACCCAACCATGCCAGCAAACCGAAATTAGGACTTTCTATATTTTCTCCTAGCGTGATTTATACTTCTTTCCTGGCACTTGTCACCTCTGCATTATTAGTTCAACATCTTCACCCCCATTAGACCATCACTCCAGGGGAGGGGCTGTGTGTCCCCCTTATTCAAGACTCCATCCTGAGGGTCTGGCATAGTCAGAGAGTAGGTGCTTTGATAAATGTGTCCATTGAATGAAGTCATAAATAAATAGTTCTACAAGATCTAGTATAGCTTATCAAAGAAGGCATTGTGAAGACATACATTTCAGAACTATTTTCTCCCAAAACAGTTAATACCTAAACATTTTTAATGCTTATGAATATCATACCTTAAGTATTAAGAAAACATTATTGTTTTGAATCACTTTTCCACTAGAGCTTCTCAATCACTAAAATTTTACTGTACTACTTTTCATATCTATTACATCCTTAACAAATGCTAACTATACTGATGTACAAATCATCCTTTCTATTAGCACATTAGGCTAGTACCCACAGGAAGGAAATCTGACTCTACTGTCTTTAGACATCCTGACAAAACCCGTTACACCGTTAATGTTCATTCACTTATTCCCTAGCTCTGTAACTTTGTTCGCTTTGCTAATATTATTCTAACTGAAGTAAGAAAAAAACATAGAAGCCTTTATTGATACAGAGAAGAAAATCTTCTAAGCCTTTTATTCAGAAGTTAAAAATAAAGTGGGAAGAAAAACAAAAACATTAACTGATAAGTTAAAAAATTTTTTTCTATCATACAATGCTTAATTGCAAATTTGAGATGGAATTAAAATGTGAATATAATTAAGTGTAAGGCTTCATCACAATTGAAGTCACAGGTGGGGGTCCACGGACCTGTACTTGGGAGACAGCTTTCAGCAAATGACTCCTGAGCTCCTCCAGGGCAGGCCCCGCGTAGCACAGAGCAGCGAGGCAGGCGAGGCAGGCACACCCCGTGCCTGTCGTCACTGAGCTACCAGATCTTTGAAAATGACCTCGGTTTACTCCTTCTGAAGAATGGCAGTGGACTTCCTTGATCTTAGTCCTGGAAGTGGAGTGGATGTGGCCCCCTCCTTTCCCCCCTCCCAGCTCTAACAGTGGGTGTCACCGTCAGCAACAGGAGGGAGTAACAATTCCCTCTCCTTGTAGCCCCCTCTCAAGTTCTGCTGAAACTAATTCGCTGTAACTTTCCTTAATTTTTTCAGAGTATGGAAACCAATTAAAAACATTCAAAGCAGCTCACTAAGAATGTCAGCCAGCTTCTAAACTGATCTGCTTCTCACCTACAATGTCAGGTTTCGCCTAAGCAGAAAATGGGGGGCACACGCATATCTCCCCAAAAATACAATCATATCTTAAAATGCTGCATCGCTGGGAAAAGGATTACATTTTTAGTTTGGAAATAGTATACTCTGCCATTTAAAAGTCAAAGTGAAAGCTCTTTTCTTATGAAAATGTTAGTACAAAGGCACATTTTCATTTCTCAAAAAAAAAAATTCTGATTTAGAATGATACTTGTAATAGAATGTCCTGAACAATCTGACAAGTCTTCATCTCAAATGACGACGTGAAAGAAAAGTTTTATAACAAATAAGAAGAATTAAGTATCAGTAAAATAGGAAGGCAAACTAAATTCGACTGGAGAGGACAGTTACATCATTCGAGACTCATGAGATGACAGATGGCCAGTTATCAAAGAATAAAACATGTGAAAATGAATTCTATACAGTCAGGGAACAGATCTTTCCAATTAAAAATTACATGCTTGTTCCTTGTCTATCAAGAAAACATTTAAGTGGTGTGCCTTCACATTTAAAAATAGACAGCTCGTCTCCAATGCACACAGCACCATATTTTTAGTGGGTGTTCTGTAGGAGAGTGAGAGCTATGATGAAGGAAGCAGAGGGGTAGCTATCATAGTTGCAAGTTCAGAAAACAAATTCAGTTTTGATTAACCACTAGTAATACGAATAACAGTAATATCAAATATGTAGACTGGCTCTGGCCAGTGTGGCTCAGTTGGTTGGAGCATCATCCTGTGCACCAAAAGGTCTTGGGTTCGTTTCTGGTCAGGGCACATACCTAGGTTGTGGGTTTGACCCACAGTTGGGGTGCATACAGGAGGCAGCTGATCGATGTTTCTCCCCCCCCTTCCCTCGTTCCCTCCCCCCCCTCTCTAAAAATCAGTGAACATGTCCTTGGGTGAGGACTGAAAAAAAACAAACCATAGACTGAAGTTTAAATACTTTAGAAATTGGTTAATTATGTTTGAATGCACATAATTCAATTTAAAAAAACATCCTCTTCCTGCCAACAATCCAAGATACCTAAATAAAAGGCAAAAATGGCGTTTTTGAGAAACATTCTTTTGTGGTTTAACACAAAATATGGACACCAAATACATTATTTTAAATATACTTGAAAATGCGTTATAATCACATGGGTAATAAAAATAATGTTCTATTTTAAAGAGAAAATATGTATGATTTTGCATATGGTAAAGGATGATTCATTGTTATTCTTTTATAAATTATTGAGTTTTGCTTTTAAATTTTCATTATTTTGATGCTTTCCTAAAAGGGAGGAACTTTCCTATTTTTGATACTAAAAAAGGATCATTCTAGAGTTAGAACCTCCTTTATTAACCTTTCAAAGAAGAAATATGTAAAAAAGCTGCTACTTCTGCACTGCAATACCATTCTATAAATATTATAGTACATGAGCAAAGGATGATGTAACTAATTAAACCAAGATAAATCTTTATGTTTTAATATTTAGAACAGAATTATATACACTCATATGCGTGAGCTATCGATTTGATTGCAAATGTGAAAAATAAGCTTTCAAATGACACCATTACAAAGCCCCTCTAAAATGGTATATATATAGAAGGGATATTATTTTCTGCTACAAAAATTCCCATTGCTATTTTTAGTCCACAACTGTTGCATAAAGTCTTTCTTCCATAAAAGGCTCTCACACTTACAAATATAACCTCAAGATGATCAGCGGGCAATGAAAAGAGAGACACATTTATTTTAGACTGAAATAGAAAAGAAAAAAAAATCCAAGAAACACGGTATTTTCTGGTATCTATTTAACAGAAAGCCCTGGCAGTAATCAAGCCCACGCAGATTTGGGGTATTTAAGAGTGAGGCCGGCCGGACAGACAGGCGAGCACGTGCCCCCGCACCTCGGGTTTCAGATCCCTGTGCACCACGCCGACGTCGTGCATGTGGCTCACGGCTGACACGAGCTTCCGCATGATGTAGCTGGCTTCGGTCTCGCTGAAATGCTTCTTTTTCTTAATGCGTTCGAACAGCTCTCCCCCATTCAGAAGTTCCATCACTAGAAAAGTGTGAAGCTGGGAAAGAAAGAAGGTAATGTGGAGGGCCGTAATGAAAAGTTTATTAACATACAACACGTGGCTTCACTATCAACTATCAGCAATACATATAAATAATCCTTTCTTTTTTTTTTTTTAAATCCTCACCCGAGGACATTTTTCCATTTTTTGTTCAGGTAGAGTGGGGGGGAGAGAGAGGAACAGAGAGAGAGAGAGAAACATCGATGTGAAAGGGACACATCGAGTGGCTGCCACCCGCACGACCAACCAGGGCCGGGGACAAACTGCAACCGAGGTACATGCCCTTACCTCGGGGTAAGGGCACGTACCGAACCCGGGTCTCTCAGGACCGCAGGCCGACGCTCTAACCGCTGAGCCAAACCGGCCTGGGCTAAATAATCCTTTCTTAAGGTCATCAGTAGCGATCCTTGTATTGTAGAAGAAAGCTGAAGGACTTCTATTTCGGTCATGGAAAATTTCAAGCACTGCAGTGAAGTCCACATATTCTTTTCTGGATGAATTCTTCCATTTGACTTCACGGCAGCCCTCTCTGTCAAGCTGACATGACCCTCCTTGTTAAAGTGTGATCTAGCCCTGAGAAAGTGAAATTGGCTGCTTGAAATAATACACGAGATTACTGACGGTTACTGTCCTAAAAGGCACTGTTTGGTGATGGCACTTTAAACCTCCTATTAGGGCTTAACGAAGAAGTTTCAGGATTCTTGTCAATATGCATAACTCACTGTAGGTTTTCTTTCTTTTTCTTTTAAATAATTGCTTTTGATCCCAATGGCATTATTTTAATTAGTTTAATCAGTTATATACTTACTATGTTTTCCATACATTTCCATAAAAATAACAACATAGCTATCAAAAAGCAAAGGAATTTATATTAGCTCTCAAATGAACACAAATAGTTTTTAAAATATATCAAATCAATATTCAGATTCAGATGCTACACATTATAGCACCAACCTCACTCAAAAAACAAAATAGAGTATGTTTCCCTTTGAATTAGCAAAATCCGGAAAACTTGCTTCGTAAAAAAGACAATTAAAAATAATCATCCGGCACCTGTTAGGCAAATTGTAAAAGGTGAGCAACCCTTTTAGTAGGAATTGTTCTCAGGCTACTAGCCATCAAGCCAATTTGAGTTTCTACATCAGACAAATAAGGTCAAAGTTGAAGGTCTGGTACAAGTATATGCCTGTGAGCTTGTATGTATGCTTTTTGTTTTTTTTTAATCCGTATCCAAAGATATTTCTCCATTTATCTTCAGATAGAGTGGGAGGGAGAGAGAAGGAGGGAGAAACATCGATGTGAGAGAGCCACATCAATTGGTTGCCTCCCGCATGATCCTGAACAGGGCCAGAGACTGAACTGCAACCGAGGCACGTGCCCTTGACTGGAATTGAACCTGCGACTCTTTGGTCTGCAGGCTGACACTCCAACCACTGGGTTGGAGCCAAACTGTCCAGGGCTGCCTGTGAGCTTTAAAAAAAAAAGGAGGACAATACCTACCCTAGAGTGGCTTCAAAGATGGGTATTACAGTTAAACCTGGATCTGAATGCCAGTTCTCTGACTTACGACATTGGGGATATTACTTTACCTCTATGAACTAACTTTAGGACCCTTACAAATAAAATGTAGATAATGATGAGAAATGTTTATGTGGTAGCTTGAAAAATGGCCCTGCAAAGATGCCCATATTCTACTGCCCAGAATCTATGGGTGTTACCTTATATGGTAAAGGGACACTGCAGTTGTGATTAAGGATCTAGAGACAGGGAAAATATCTCAATTGTCCACCCGAGTCAACAGTGTGAGACGGGGTTATGGAGACAAGAGATGGGAGTGATGCAGGGAAGGGTACGAGTCAAGGAGTGTGGGCAGTCTCTAGAGGCTGACACTGGCTTTTCACCAGTGAGGCTGACTGACTTCTCATGTCCAGACTGTCAGACAATGCCTGTGTGCTGTCGCAGGAACTAGACAGCAATAGGAAGCTAACGGAGCGGCACAGCACGAATCCGGGCACAAATGAACTTGGCTGTAGCGCAGTCAACGGATGAAGTCCTGCCCTCAATCGATTTCATCCAGTAGTTGAAAACAAGAAAGACTATGTGGACTGGGGACAATCAAGACAACTGTCACCATCATGGGTAAAACAACCCAAGATATTAGAATGATAATATATTTATACTAGTACCTATGGGGTGATACCATCAGATAATTTATATTCTAGTAACTCTTGAATATAAGAAATAGCAAATAATAAATATAACTTGTGACAGAAAAAATTAGGGATACAGCCCTGGCTGGTTTGCCTAGCGGTTAGAGCGTTGGCCCACAGGCCAAAGAGTCGTGGGTTCAATTCTGGTCAAGGGCACATAGCTAGGTTGTGGTTTGGTCCCCAGCCCTGGTTGGGGTCACATGGGAGGCAACTAATCAATGTGTCTCTCTCACATCGATGTTTCTCTCTCTCTCTGAAGATAAATGGAAAAGTATCCTCGGGTGAGGACTAAAAAAATAAATAAATAAAATTAGGGATGCAGCTCCTGAGATCTGGCATCAGCCTGAAGGTCAGGGATCGAATGTCTCTGCTGGGACGCAGCCGGGAGACAGCTGCAAAACCACAGACCAACCCCGACTGACATGTGAGTCACATTCATCAGAGGACCGTCTAGGCTCTTCCTGGGCACCTCCAGGGGACAGGGGTCTCACTATCTGCACTGCAGTTGACCCGCCCAATGAGGTGCAGGCAGTAGAGGAGCAGAAAGAACATTTCCTACCGAGCTCTTGCTACAAAGCTGCTTCTGTTCTGGCCGTGAGAGCCAGAGCAAGACGACGGAGAGATTCTGCTTCCCGATGTGGAACCAGGCTGTCTCTGCCTCCCCGAAGGCAGTACAGCAGCGTCATTGGAAGCTTGCTCTGAAGTGGGGCTGCTTGGGTTCAGATCCCAGCACCAGCACTTACAAACTGCGGGCCCTGTGACTAACTCCTGTGAGTTTCAGTTTCTGACCTCACAGAGTCACTGTAAGGACTGCATGAGGTAATCGTGCAGTGTGTCCGGTACAGAGCCTGGACCACTTGCGGCGTAACAGTCAAGAGCGGCGGTTTGTATGGTTCGGCTGGGGCTGCTGCCTGGTTTCCCCGGGGCGTATCGCTCCTGGGCGCAGCACCGGGGACATTCTGATGAGGCAGAGAAGGGGGCCACAGCTGCCCTGGGACGCAGATGTGACAGCAGCACAAGAAAGCCCAGAACCAGAGACCTGGCTTTCCCAGATGTTCACTGACTTGCTTTGTGACCTTGGACAAGTCTCATGACCCTCTGAATGCGTTTCTTCTTTGGTAAAACCACCGTTGGTTTTAGCTCCTGTGCCCAGCATGCTGCCTTGAGCAGGGCATGTCACCCCACCCAGTCCCAGAGGAAAAGATAATCTCCGCCCATCATGGAAGGCGGCAGTGGAGGAACTGGGGAGGGACAGAAGCCTGACACAGTGGCGCTCCTCTTGTACCCAAAGTTACATGCGCCTGTGTTAGGTGTCTGTTAAAAATCAGGACTGGGGTAGATGAGGGGGCAGCATGGCATGGCCTGTGGTCAGAGCAGAAACTGCCTGGAACAGGAAGATGATAAAGAAGTACCTTTGCTTTTCTGCTTCCTATGCGTCCTTTAGCTGGTTCTAATTCGGGCTGCTCTACTCCAGAAGTAGAAGGAAAGTTGAAGGCTGAGAATTCCGAGTCCTGAGAGGTCTGAGCAGTCGAGCTACGGGGCCGGCCGCTGAACTGGTATTAGCCCAGTGCAGCGGGGGGCAGGCCCTGGCTCTGCCCCTCGGTCCTCTTCCCGTCAGTTAGGAAGAGAAGCGCAGAAGTGAAAGGACTCCCTGGCTTGGGGGTGGGCAAGCGTGTGTGTGGTGCCTTCTCCGCCCTCTGCAGCGGCCGGTCATGTCCCACATACTGACTCTGACCCAGCAGCACCAACGAAACTGGGAGGAAGTAGAAACTTGAATGTAAGTTGGTACGCACAGAAAAAACAGTGGGATACCTACCTGATCGTGGAAAACTTCATGCAATCTCACGATGTTAGGGTGTCCTTCACAGAGTTTCAGCGCTGTTATTTCTTTCTGGGTGTTGGCTTCCATCCTACGAGATGAAACAGTCTCTACAAACCTCTTCGCCAAGCTTTTGTCAGTATTGCCCCAACCTTAATTTTGTTTTTATTTACAGTGTGTGCAGAATATAAGTGTCAAAGTGGGAGAATGAAGCTTCCGTGAAAGGAGTGAGTCATACCACCCACCCGAACAAGCAATGCACTCTTCCCGAGAGATCGTTTCTGAGTCAGAAAGAGGTGATCACATGAAGAAATGGATGCTCTACCTGCCCGACAATTTGAAAAGAACAGATAATCGTGGAGGTAACAGTCAGTTACAAAACAATTAGCTGGCTCTCAAAGCTACTAGCAGATTGCTAAGTAATTTTGTCTTTAAGTGTTTCAAATATACAACAGAAAGGAAGGGCAATGGCTGCTGAACTCACTGAGCCGGTCAGATCAAATGTCACCGCCACAGGAGTTCCCTCATCAGAAAGTCAAAAGCATATCATACTGTGATGTATGTCTGAAATTGATCACCTCATCAGAAAATATCTAATAGGGTTAGAAGTATAACGGATCAACTGATGAGCCAAATGGCCAAACCTGTGGGTAACAAGCCTTATGATACACCACTGATGTCCTTTTAAATAAAACTCTTCATTTACAGACTCCATTAAGGGGATGAATAAAGAAGAGAGACCGCCAGAAATGGTCATACCTTTTGCTGATTATTTTGACTGCGAATGCTTGGTTACTTTTTTTGTGTATGCACTTTCGACAAATTGAAAAACTTCCTTCTCCCAGTGGTTTGTCTTTCAGATCTAGGTCATAGTGTTGATAGAACGGAGAGTCCTGATAAGAAAACGACGTCAGTCAACTTAAGAAAATATTAGTAATACAAATGGGATAAATAAAACTGTGATGTTAACAAATATTTATAAATGCAATACATTTATAATCTCCTATAATTCATCTTACTTTAGCTCCTTTCTATGTTCATCTATATCTTTTATTTAAGTTACATAATTATCTATCACTGTAAAAAGGAGCTCATTCACACTGATGTTAATAATTCTCTAGGGCAGCCCGGCCGGTGTGGCTCAGTGGTTGAGCGTCGACCCATGCACCAAGAGGTCACTGGTTCAATTCCCAGTCTGGGCACATTCCCAGGTTGTGGGCCCGACCCCTAGTAGGGGACATGCAGGAGGTGGCCAATCGATGTTCTCTCTCATCAATGTTCCTATCTGTCTCACCCTCTCCCTTCCTCTCTCTCTCTAAAATCAATAAAGAAAAAATATTAAAAATAATTCTCTAGGGCAAATATTGCTATTTCCATTTACTCGTTTCTTAAAATCGCATCTTGGCTGAATGGTAAGTCTGTTATGTTTACTGGACTTGATAATGGTAACCAGTATTCGTATTTAAACCATACATATGTCACGCATTCACCACATCTGCACCTTCGTCATTGCACTCCTGGCAACGTTTGTCACTCCAGGTCGTTCAACCTCCATGTGCAGCTGAAGAGGATCTAGGACAGCCGCGTTGCGCTTGAACAGGATAGAAGGGGCAACAAAGGAATAGCCCTGAAAAACACAAGCAAAGGTGAACAATAAAGATGTGCGATCCTCCAGGTCAGCACAGACTACGCTGTAATAATTTTTTTCTTAAATCAAGAAAAAATAACAGCCCTGGCTGGTGTGGCTCAGTGGATTGAGTGTCCTGTGCACCAAAAAGTTTCTGGTTCGATTCCTGGTTGGAGCACATGCCCAGGTTGGGGGTTCGATCCCCAGTTGGGGTGTGTACAGGAAGCAGATCAATATTTCTGTCTCCCATCAATGTTTTTCTCTCTCTCCCTTCCTCTCTTTATAAAAATCAATAAAAATTAAAAAAAGAAAAAGGAATAAATACTCAAATGTTTGTGAAGATAATTCTAATTTTATTTTATTTGTAATCTAAAATGTAAGGTTATTTCAAATTAATAGAAAAATGCTTTTCAGAAGGAGATAATGCCATCTTCTGGTAGAATTAAGCCAATTCAAAATAAAGGCAAAAAAAATACCTCTTCTCTATTCCACCCCAAAAATCTGACTCATAGTGGTAATTCTTTTGCATTGCTGATGAAAGTTTGTTTAGAAACACAACCAACTTCTCAATAAAGGTCAAGTTAAGGCAGAATGGTCCAAGTGCCACTGTTGTCCAAACTGGAACAAGTGCAGGTTCATTCTAGTTGGTTTCTAATTCAGCAATTATTTGACTCATTGAATTTCCTTAGACTAATTAAGTTCAAAATGGAGTTTCAAAAAAGAAGTAAAATCAAGTGGCAGAATGATGTCCTAAACCAAAGGAGACATAATGACGGATGATTAATCTCTTTAAGCTAGACCATTCACTAGTTCAGTGAACATTTTTTTAAACATCTACTATGTGCCCAGCCAAGTACTAGGCATTAGTGTCACGAATGCTCAGAGACACGGTCTGCCTGGCCAGGTTCAGCCACACAAGTGGTGCACTTGGAGGAGGCAATGGAATGACACTGAAATTTCAGAGATAGTGTAGCCAATGTGCCTCAGTGGACTGAGCATCCTCCCATGAACTGAGAGGTCCTGGTTCAATTCCTGGTCAGGGCACATGCCCGGCTGTGGGCTCCATCCCCAGGAGGGGGTGTGCAGAGGCAGCAAATTGATGTATCTCTCTCACATTGATGTTTCTTTCCTTTTTTTATTAATTTATTTTTGTTACAGATGTTTCTCATTTTCCCCCCACTGATACCCTCTTCCTGTCCCCCCACTCTGAAGTTTGTCAGTCTGAACCCAACTTCTATGTCTTGGGGTCTATTTTGTTCATCACCTTATTTTGTTCATTATCTCCCACAAATAAGTGAGATCATGTGATACTTGTCATTCTCTGGCTGGCATATTTCGTTTAGCATATTACTCTCCAGGTCCCTCCATTTATCTCAAAGGATAAGAGATCTTTCTTTCTGACAGCTGCATAGTATTCCATTGTGTAAATGTACCACAGCTTTTTTATCCATTCGTCTACTGATGGACAGACACTTGGGCTGTTTCCAGATCTTAGCTATTGTAAATAGTGCTGCTATGAACACAGGGGTGCATATATTCTTTCTGATTGTTGTTTCAGGCTTCTTAGGATATAGTCCTAGAAATAGGATCACTGGGTCAAATGGCAGATAAATTTTTAATTTTTTAAGGAAACACCATATTGTTTTCCATAGTGGCTGCACCAGTCTGCATTCCCATCAGCAGTATACTAGAGTCCCCTTTTCGCCAACACTTGTTTTTTGATGATTTGTTGATGGCAGTCATTCTGACAGGTGTGACGTGATACCTCATAGTTGTTTTAATTTGCATCTCTCTGATGATTAGTGATGTTGAGAATTTTTTCAAATGTCCCTTGGCCATTTGTATGTCCTGTTTGGAGAATTGTCTATTTAGGTCCTCTGCCCATTTTTTAATTGGGTTCTTTGTCTATCTTTTGTTGAGTTGTATGAGTATTCTATATATTTTGGAAATTAACCCCCTATCTGATTGATGTATCATTGGCAATTATGCTCTCCCATACAATGGTTGTTTCTTTTGCTGTGTGGAAGCTTTTTAGTTTGATGTAGTCCCATGTGTTCATTTTTTCCTTTGTTTCTCTTGCCTTAGAGGTTGTATCAGTGAAAATTCTGTTGCGTGTGATGTCTGAAATTTTGTGGCCTACATTTTCTTATAGGATTTTTATGGATTCATGAGTCACGTTTAAGTCTTTTATGCATTTTGAGTTTATTCTTGTGTATGGTATGAGTTGGTGGTCTAGTTTCATTTCTTTGCATGTAGCTGTCCAATTTTCCCAGCACCATTTATTAAAGAGGCTGTCTTTACTCCACTGTACGTTCTTCCCACCTTTGTTAAATATTAATTGAGCATAACATCTTGGGTCAATTTCTGGGTTCTCTGTTCTGTTCCATTGATCTATATTCCTATTCTTGCGGAGTGCCAGGCTGTTTTGATTACATTGGCTTTGTAGTATAACCTGATATCCGGTATTGTGATCCCTCTTACTCTGGTCTTCTTTTTCAAGATTGCTGTGGCTATTCAGGGTCTTTTTTCATTCCATATAAACTTTTGGAGCATCCGTTCTAGTTCTGTGAAATTTGTCGTTGGTACTTTAATTGGGATTGCATTGAATCTATAGATTGCTTTGGGTAGTATGGACATTTTAATGATGTTAATTCTTCTAACCCATGAACAAGTTATATGCTTCCATTTTTTTATATCTTCCTCTATTTCTTTTTTTCAATGTCCCATAGTTTTCTGGGAACAGGCCCTTTACTTCTTGTTTAAGTTTATTCCTAGGTATCTTAATTTTTTATTTACCATTGCTGCAATGGTAAAAGGGATTGTTTTTTAAGTTTCTCTTCTTGTATGTATAAGAATGCTGTCAATTTCTTTCTTTTTTTTTAATTTTTTTTTTCCTTTATTGATCTTGGAGAGAGAGGAAGTGAGAGGGAGAGATAGAAACATTAATGAGAGACAACATTGACTGGACACCTTCTGCATGCTCCCCATTGGGGATTGGGCCCACAACTTGGGCATATGTCCTGACCCGGAATCGAACCAGTGACCTCTTAATGTATGGGTCTATGCTCAACCACTGAGCCACACCAGTGGGACTGCCGTCGACTTCTTGATGTTAATTTTGTATCCTGCCACTTTGCCAAGTTCATTTATTAAATCTAGTAGATTTTTTTTTTTTTAATCCTCACCCGAGGACATTTTTTCAATTTTTGTTCAGGTAGAGTGGGAGGGAGAGAGAGGAACAGAGAGAGAGAGAGAAACATCAATATGAAAGGAACACATCTAGTGGCTGCCACCCGCACAACCGACCAGGGCCGGGGACAAACTGCAACCGAGGTACATGCCCTTAGCAGGAACCGAACCCAGGTCTCTCAGGACCGCAGGCCGAAGCTCTAACCGCTGAGCCAAACTGGCCAGGGCTAAATCTAGTAGATTTTTGATGAAGTCTTTAGGATTTTCTATGCACAATATCATGTCATCTGTAAATAATGAGTTTCACTTCCTCCTTTCCAATTTGGATCCCTTTTATTTTTCCTTCTTGTCTAATTGCTATCTCATATCAATGTTTCTATCTCTTCCTTCTCTCTCTCTAAAAAAATCTATAAAAAGAGACTGGCTGGTATGGATCAGTGGTTGAGTGTCGACCCATGCACCAAGAGGTCGCCAGTTGATTCCCAGTCAGGGCACATGCCCAGGTTGTGGGCTCGATCCCCAGTGGGGAGCATGTAGGAGGCAGCCAGTCGATGTTCTCTCTCATCGATGTTTCTCTCTCTCTCTCCTTCTCCCTTCCTCTCTCTCCAAAATCAATAAAGATCAAAAAAGTAATTTAAAAAACTTTAATCAATAAAAACATTATTTAAAAATAAATAAGCAGCCCTGGCCGGTTTGGCCCAGCGGTTAGAGCGTTGGCCTGCGGTCCGGAGAGACCCGGGTTCGGTTCCCGCTAAGGGCGCGTACTTCGGTTGCGGTTTGTCCCCGGCCCTGGTTGGTCGTGCGGGTGGCAGCCACTCGATGTGTCCCTTTCACGTCGATGTTTCTCTCTCTCTCCCTTCCACTCTATCTGTACAAAAGTTGGAAAAATGTCCTCGGGTGAGGATAAAAAAATAAAAAAATAAATAAATAAGCAAATAAAATTTCAGCGATAAAATCAACTTTTTTTGGTATCAAAAGTAAACACATAATACCTGCTTCATAAGCTTTAGTCAACATTGGCAAATTCTATTTAATAATTTTTTAAAGAGATTAGAAAATCCTGTTTTTAAAATGCCAAAATAAACTTCCACGAGGGAAATGAACGTTTCCCGTCACAGACACGCGTGGCCGGGGCGCACCTGGAACAGCCTCTCCGAGTTCTGGGGCAGCGCGGCGGGGGAGTAGGTGGGATCCATCTCCGTGAACTCCTCCGCGAAGTTGCTCACATCTAACTCATCTCGGATGACTGGCCTAAATGGTGCGGGCACTTTTTTGGCAGCTAAGTCATCCCAATTTATTTTCTAAAACAGAAGAAGAAGAAAGATAATACAAAGTAAAAAATCAGCAAAGTCGAAATATATTTTCTAAGAATAACAAAGCCAGATTAGGATTTTAATTGGTCAATAGAAAGAGAGGTATATATTTCATACTAATGATTAAATATACAGATTTTTATAAGCATAGCATATTTTCTGACTGCAATGCTGGGCCTGATGTGGTCTCATCATGTCCTCTAGGGGGCACCAAGACACCCTGGTTTACCCTTAGGGATAACAGAAAAATTACTTTTGTTCTGAGTTTCCTGAGAAAGGTGTTAAATAATAAATAAAGGGCTTTAAAATGCTCTGTGTATATGACTGTTAAGTCTAAAGGCATATTCCTATTCTCTAGAGGCAGTGTTAATTAGCTTTCTTCCTGGTCATCTGGACGGATTAGAAAATAAACTCACTATAAGTCATGCATTTATTTACATCTATAAGTTTAAATGATACTATCATACTGATGAATCACTCTTTATCATTTAGCTGTATTTAAGCATTTTAAATACTACCTCTTCTCTTCCCCATGGAGTGATCCAAGCCCCCTTCCCACTCATATCAGACACTCACCGTCTGATAAATTGCTGCTTTATATTAAAATTCAACCCTCTGCTGTTTTTTATGCTCCTTCCATCACTTAAAACAACCTCATAACACTCATGAATTGAGCCTTACAGATACCCTACTCACATATTTCTTCAAATCTAAGATGTCATTTTTGATAGCAAGATATCACTTTATGTACCATTAAGGAGGAAAAAGCATTACCAATTGGAATACCAAGATATTGTCCACTGTAAGATGCTTACTGATTTCAGAGCTGGTGAAATGTGAAACTTACATTTCTAGGTCAATGACATGCAGTAAAAGTTTAATCAACTAATATAAAATGTTTTTATTATGCCCTCTTGTGGAGGCAACGGAGATAAAATCATTAAGTTACAGGTCTTCACATTTTTCAGCTGGAATAGGTTTTAGAGATCATTTATCTCATTTGATCCACATGGGAATTAAGCCTGGGAATAAGAACTAACCATTTCACTTAAACATTAGTAAGTGGAAGGGCCCGCATTCGAACACAGTCTCTCGACTCCTAGTTAGTGTTCTTTCCTCTGTGTGGCTGTAATGTTTTCTATTATATGACTTATGCTTGGCTACTGTACATACATTAGAAGAAACTTCTAAAGTAAGGAGGTAATTTAAAGAAATAAGTTGTTAGCAGAACATTTAGTATACAGAAAACTGAATGCTATTATAATCCTCTCCGCCTCTACTCCATTTAGGTCTTTACAAGTAGAATCCTGTTTTTTCCGAAAGTGCCCTTATCATTTAAAAAGTTAAGGCAATTAAATAACCTAAAATTACTATTCCAAGCTATAGACGAAATAAATTTCTCTAACATGAAAGATATACTATAATAATCACAAATACAGGGAAACCATGGAGAAAAAAATCCTAGGAAAATATGAGTGGGGGTATTTTGCTTGAATACTTTCTTGGATTTTATCTTATTAATTTTTGAGCCAAACTTCTGAACAAGATATTTGAAATAATTTAGTCAAACATTAACCTTTCTATGCCATATGAACCTATGAAATGTACACACTCAGAAATTAATTTTATTCAAAACATATTTCCCAATAGGTTACTGAACTTATGTAAGATGTACAGTAATATTTTCTAAAATGTTTACACTGAGAAACTGAAATAAATGTGCTTTTTTTGAGCATAGAAGTACAGAGAAAGCATTCCTATTCTCAACTGTTATTTGTTCTCCTGTATTTAAAAGACAATAAATAACAACATGAAAGCTTACTCTATAGCAAAGTTTTATCTTTGCTTTGGGAGCTATTTTCATTTGTTTTGGTGCTAATAATGTAAAAGCTCAGTTTGCAGAATAAAAATAAAACTTGGACAGTCCCTTTAGAGCAGAAATATTTAGGTCATGCTTGTTATGATGAAATTATTTAAAAGTCAGAAGCTCAGGGTTTTAGAAATCAAGGTCATGGTATCCCAGGTTGACCATTTACATAGAAATAACTGAAATAGTCAACTCAGTCAATTTAATGCCCCCACAACCCACCAGTTATCTAAAATTTTGGTGTGTTTTTTTTTTGACAAAACTGAACAAACTCAGTGAGCAGCTGTGTTGGTGTTCTGTGGAGTGGCCTCATTAGGCTTCTTCAGAATAAGAAAAACTCTGTCTCAAGTACAAAGAAAACACATGAATAATTCTCTGTGTGTTACAGACATGTAACTAAGAAATAGGGAGATGTTTGAATTTTCTGAGATTTCTCCTGGGAAGAGAAGAGATAAAGTCACTATCGAAAAGGTGCAGCACAGTGGATCATAAACTGAGAGAGAAGTGAAAATAGAATGAAAGTCTCCTCAGTCCATATGCCTACATCTTGAGATCATAAATGGAAACTAATACCCAGAAACTTTAACCAATTAGTATGTACAAAATCTAATGTTATGATCCTGCCCACTTCTGCTTATTTAGGGAGAAAGAGATCACTTAGGTCTCTACTAGTAGAATTCTGATCCTTCCTAAAGGGTCCCTGTTATTATTATTATTATTATTATTATTATTTAAAATGCAATGTACATGCAAATAGGGAGAAAACTCAAGAGACCATGTTCACCCCAACATGTTCACTCATTTCACTGAGAAGGTTGAACACTCTGAAATCATAGATCTGGTCAATAAATTTCACCTGAAAAAAGAGATGTTCTTTGATCTCATCTGCATCACGCGGACCACATCCCAATCTTTTCTTGGGATCTTTCATCAAAAGGCGCTGAATTAGGTCTTTAGCTAAAGCACTCATATCTTGGGGATACGGAGGCTCACTTTTTAATATTCTCCTGTAGGCAGATAAAACTTGCTGTTAAAACAATCAGAGGACGAAGTTATAGTGACAGTATTCCTAGCAAAAACAAGAATAGCGCCATGCACTTTGAAATTGAACAAATGTGAAAGACAGAGACAGGGATATTTAAAACACAAAATAAAATGTCTGAAACTTAAGTAAGCAGAATCAAGAAGTATTGGGTCTCTCCCCCCCCCCCCAATATAAATGAACCTTAACAAGAAGCTACCATCCCAAGTGTTTAATTGGGAAGAAATGAAAAGGAAGGCTCAGGATAGATGAGACCGCCTATCTAGGGACTAACCTCTAGGAGTAAAGATTTCACAATGGAAACAACTTTTTTTTTTATATCCTCACCCAAGGACATTTTTGCATTCACCTTCAGATAGAGCAGGAGGGAGGGGGATGAGAAAGAGAGAGAAACATCGATGTGAGAGAGACACATCGAGTGGCTGCCACCCACACGACCCCAACCAGGGCCAGGACAAACTGCAACCGAGGTACGTGCTCTTAGCGGGAACCGAACCCGGGTCTCTCTGGTCCACAGGCCGACGCTCTAACCGCTGAGCCAAACCGGCCAGGGCTGGAAACAACTCTTAATGAATTCAGGGGAGTGAGTTCAGTGTTCGGATTTGAAAGGACAAAAGAAAACCCCAACCATGCCTGCCTCACTTGTCTTCCCCTGGGGCCAGCGAACACAGGGGTCAGGGAGAGCACAGGGAAGGGAGACCGAGCCGGGGTCGGAACCAGCTGGATCCGGCTCAGCTCTTGACATCTGAAAACCAGCACCCAAGCTGGGCGCTCTTCACGGGCTGAAAGTGTCTGCTTCATTTCCTGCTACAACAGAACAGCAGGCAAGCCGGGGAGGGCAAGTGCCACTCAAGACGGAGTCAAGGCTGTGCTCTATTAATGGAAAGTAAAAGTGAGATAATCAAGCTCCTTGATGAAGTATCTGAATTCATTTTAAGGTCACAGAAGAGATCAATCCAACCCAAATGTACTTTTGGCCCCTGAGAAGCCAGGTCAATAATTTAAGAAGAAAGAATGGAAGGGACTGATTGAAATGAAGAAGCTTAACACGGTCTACATGGAGATAAACAGTTACTCCATTATTTGGGTTTGCAAAAAGGTCCCCCGTTGTGCATTAAAATATGAATAATTGCTATGGAACAAAACAGATATTAACGTTATAACACAGTATAGTGTGGTAAGAACACAGACTTTGGAGCCAAATGAGTTCACTCTCCGAGTTCAATAAGCTCCGCTGCTTATTGGCCGGGTGACCTTGATAGTTAATCTCTTTGTACCTCGGTTTTAACAACTGCAAAAGGGGGGTAACAACAGTACCTACCCAAACTGGGTATTACGATGTTTAAATGAGCTAAGATGATGTGCCTGGTAAGACGGGCCCCTCTAATGCTCCCTCCTTCTAGACTAAGGCCACCCACAAAGCCAACGGAGCCTGTAACAAGCAGCGCCGAGAATCTGCAATGATAGTGAACCGTACTTTTTGACTCCAAACTCCCGCAGTGCTGCTCACTGCAAAGCTGATTCAGTTTCCAGCACTCCCTCCTGAGAACCTAAGGAGAGGATGGTAGAACCCAGTACAAAGAGAGGCAGTGTCTCTTCTTTCCCATCCTGTCGTCCCATCGGGATTTTCAGCATTGGAAACCACCCTCCCTCAGACCAGGCGCGCACACGTCTGGCGGAGAAGCTGGGAGCCCTGTGCGTCAGGGACAAACGAGCACAGCCTTTTCCATCTTCTCCACCTTCAACACAGCTCTGCAGGCAAGAATTTGTTGCGCACGAGGATCCGACTACAGACACGGTGCTGACCTCCACCTTCCCGAAGCAGGTCTAGACAGCCTTGGCCGCCATCCTCGGGTCGGACTCCGCCAGGCACCGGGGAAAGGGGTGGTCAGTCATGTGGGACTGTGGTGGGTGCAGCTCCAGAAGGGGGGCGCTGAGAGAGTAGTGAGCACCCCAAAACGGGGATGGCCCCCCGAGATGCCGGGCCTGGAGGGGAGCAGGAGGCCTGTGCACACGCGGGCAGGCGGACTGCAGCGTCGAGGTGCAGCAGGGGTGCGGCAGGTGTCCCGGGCAGGGAACCAGAGTTCCAGATTCGGACGAGGCAGGGATCAGATCGGGAAGGAACTGAGGATGGATCCGCTGGAAACAGGGCTGCTGAGGACACGTGGAGAACAAGCATGGCGGCCCCAGACCTGGCCTTTCCCGAGTGAAGAGCACGGCCGGCACCGGCGCCAGCAGAGCCTCGGTCGACGGGACCACCGCCCGGCTCGGAGGCTGAAAGCAGGGGCCACACCGGAGCCTCCTCCCCATGTCGAGGTCGACAGAGGCCTGTTCCTGGTCGGGAACCGCACGCTGGGAAGGGAAGCAGAGACTGAGGTGGGGGTAGAGAAAGGGCCACGGCTGGCTTAAACCTTCTCCACGGGAAGATGACCTTGGATTTACCTTCTTAGCCAGCTTCCCTGAAATGAGTGGATCGAGGTAAATGTGACACATCAGCCATGCGGGTTACTGTGAAGCTACCCGAGGGGCGACCTGCACCTGGCCTGAGGTGTGAGCAGGCACGCAGCCCTGAGGGTTCCCTGGCCCAGGACTGTCACACTTCCAGAAAACAGAGCTTCTGTGCGTTTTATCTCTTATCCCCAAGGGTGTCCTCATGGGGGCTTGGAAGCTGTGCTCACGGGAGTGATAAGAAACAGTGCGTGTGTTGAGCTGCCCATGCTGGGTGGTCCACACCCACCCACGTGACTTCATCACTCGTGGCTGAGCGTGTCCTTTCTGGGCTGGGAACCCAGCCGAGTGGTTGGCAGGGTTCTGCTGTGTTTGATTCACTCTGCTTCCCGACCCGACTCCCCCGAGGAGGCCCTGTGTTCCACTCAGGGCTCGAACCCTCTGCCTCCCCAGGGAGTGCCCCAGAGGGCTCATGATGAAACGGCGTGACCCAGCTCTACCCCGCAGCATGCAGGGAAGCAGGACCGAATGGGCCTGAGCGACGACGAGGGAAGGAAACAGAAAGCGGGAGGGTGCGTGCCAAGGGCGGGGCCACTTCCACTCGAGTCTGAAGCCGCTGCTGTCGGTCCATGGAGAGTGTGTACATGCACAGCTGTTGTGACTAAGGTGATGAATCTGGGGGTAACCAGTCAGAAAACCACCACCCTGGAAACACAGATGTTGCTACTGGGTACAAAAATACCTAAAATGAGGAAGAAAAAATTGGACAGTATTGTGGGAATCAAAAAGGCTTTATAAAATATGCCAATAAGGGATTTTATCATAAAGACATAAGAATAAGAAAGTCAAAGGAAAAATAAATACAATCTCTTCTTAAAACAGGATATGAAATAATGATACCTGTGATTATTCTATACATAACTCTGAAAATAACACAACTAGAAACAGAAAAATTTGTTATTACAAATGAGCTAATTCAAGGTGTTACTGAGTAATTAATATGGATAAAATACAAAAATTCTACAAATCACTGCCTGATTTTGTTTCAGAATACCATACGACAGCACACAAAATCAATGTATTACAATAATTACCTAAAGCAGTGGTTCTCAACCTTCCTAGTGCTGCAACCCTTTAATATAGTTCCTCATGCTGTGGTGACCCCCAACCATACAATTATTTTCGTTGCCACTTCATAACTGTAATTTTGCTACTGTTATGCCTTCGGCGACCCCTGTGAAAGGGGTCGTGACCCACAGGTAGTGAGCCGCTGATCTAAAGAGACAACACATCCTAGGAGGACAAATAAATTAATTACCCAAACTTTTTGTAAAGGGTCCATGGCAGAAAGATTTCTAAGATGGTCCCGAGTGATCAATGTCTCCTTGTACTCAGGACCTGGTGTAACCCCCGCCCGAGTGTGGGCTGCACCTACAGACGGCCTTATAACCAACAATAACAATAAAGATGACAGGCTGCCACTTTCATGATGAGGTCATAAAGCATCTGACTTCTTAGTAGACTCCCTCCGTCGCCTTTCTAGCTTGCATGCCTGGAAGAACCAAGCCAGCACGCTGCACAGGCCACATGGCAGGGGACTGACGGTCTTCTTCAGCCAACAGCCAGCGAGGAACTGAGGCTTTAGTCCAACAACCCGTGGAGCTGAATCCTGCCAACAACCACATGGGTTTGGAAGCAGATCCCTTCCCAGCTGAGCCCTGAGATAACTACAGCCCAGCCAACACTGATTGCAGCCTCCGACTGACCTTGAAGTTGAGCACTTAGCTAAGCTGAGCCCAGATTCCCGGTCCACAGAAACTCTGAGACAGTAAATGTACTACGTTGTCTGAATCCACTAAGTTTTCAGGGGATCTGTTTCTTGGCAATGCACAGTGGATAACTAAGACAAGGCCAGATGATAAATACTGGAGGCGTAGAGAGCTATACAGTCTCTGTGGCAACAATTCAACTGCAGCAGTAGCAGTAGCAGGGACGCAGCCAGAGATGACGGTGAGTGAATGAGCATGGCTGTGTTTCTGATAAAATGTTCTGATGGGCACTGAAATTCCTATTTCATACCACTTCACATGCCACGAAATAGTGTACATCTTTGGACTTTTTTAACCTTTTAAGAATATAAAATCCATTCTTTTTTTCTCTTTGTCCAAACTATAAGAGAAAATTTAGAAAGTTACAGAGGCGAAAGAAGGGCCCTTGGGGTTTAGGAGAGAGGTCCAGGTAACGTGCCTGGGGGGGAGGGGCGGAGGGGAAAGGCACAGTACTCCCAAGAGGGCGTGTGTGCTAAAATCCACTCAGCTCACAGGCCACATACACAAAATAGGCGGCAGAACGGATTTGGCCTGAGGGCTGTAGTTTGCCAATCCCTGACCTAAATAGCACAATTAGAACTCTTTAGCATCATTATTTTGATACTTCTTAGACCAAATTTAATGACATTATGTTTACAATAGCACAATGAATATATTAAGAAAGCATACTTTACCCTGGCCGGTTTGG